GGGGGGTTGAAAGAACCTTATGCGCTCTTTATCAAACAACCAAATTTCAATGGGTTCACATTTTCAGCTATCCACATGATAACTATCACAGTCATAGGTGGCTAAAGCGCTTTGTGACAAACACGCTAATGTTGGTTATTCACAAACAGGAGTACAATAAATGAAAATGTGACGAAATATAAATATGTGGGAAAAAAATCGGGTATAAGTGGTGAATGTGTTATATTGCAAAAATAATAATGCACAGTAGAGCAACATTTCACTCGTAAATATCATATTTACGACCTCTACCCCTTCTCATTTTAAACCAAGCCTTCATAACTAAATTGAGTCTTTTTGGTTAGCTTTAAAATCTGCCTTTCTCCCTATTCAATGGTTTATTCAGGAAATTTATTCTCTATCAATTCTGCGCCACTTCATGACAATTACTTCCATGTTAAATTTTCTTCAAACAATTCGTTTCCAATATTTCTTCTTTTCTGTCATTACCCACCGCATTGTTTCCTTGAACTTTAATTTTACATATTTTCCGGTTTGTATTTGCATTATTGGCGTTTCAAGGACTTTTAACTTTCACATTATTTAGGCAAAGGAGCATTCCAGTTTTAAAATATGACCAATAATGCTTGATTTCAATTCTAGTCAGATTTCATCTGCTGCAAAAGCTGCCTACTTTTTATTTCAAGTATTCTGCGGATTTACACTTTATTTTATGTTCCACATTTTGGCCATCTTTGGCTTCAGTCACACTTCAATGGTACTTAATTTATCTTTCTGGAACCCATTCTGCTCAAACAATGTTTTATTTAGGGGGTGTGCAATAGACTTACCTCCAAGTGGTGCACTTTGGGCAAGGTGTACTCAAACGGCAAAAAAGTCTATTAACCGGCAGTTGACTTTTCACTTCAAACTACCATCACCGCACTCTATGTCATATTCGATTACTTCCACAGTGCTCAGCTCACCTTTGTTCTACTTTTGTGTCTGTCTCTTTTACACCTTTGGAACACTCTTCTGTTCGCCCCCCCCCCTCTCGAATTTTTTTCACTTTGATGTTCCTTTACTCTGTAAAGCCCGAAGTCAGCTAAATGGTTAATGATAGCTATCAAAACGCCTGCCATTTGAAATAAATAAACTATAATAACAAATACTAATTATTCTAGCATAAAGTATAACTTTTATTTGTTTATGAGTATTTAAGTAGTCTCTTAGCCATCAACTAATCAAACTCCAAGCATAGCCCTCCTCCCCTCCCTTCATTTTAATACCTTTTCATAGCTAAATTCGCCTAACAGGTTTGCAAATAGCTATAAATTAAATTAAGCACATAATCCAATTGATGGGCAGAATCTTTGCTGTTACAGCGTATTAAATGTTAATTACTTGACTCAAAATAAATACCACTTCTTGGTTGATGTAACGTTAAGCATTACAATGTAAGTTCACAGGTTTCTTGTTGCACATTGAAAGCAATACTTATTGTCTCTGCAACGGCAAATTTGATTGGCTAAGAATATTTGTATCCTTGGTGCATTGGTAGTATAAATAGCCAGCACCACTTAAGATTGCGTTTACGGCGGTAAAATGGAGCGCTTTCTTGGGCGTTGGAAGCTGGAAAAAACGGAGAATTTCGATGAAGTGATGAAAGAGTTAGGCGTAAACATCATCAAACGGACTGCTGGCAATACCGTGAAACCTACTCACATTTTTGAGGATAAAGGCAATGGGTGCTATTGCTTTAAGACGGAGAGCACTTTCACGAAAACCGCTTGCGACTTCAAATTAGGCGAGGAATTCGACGAACACACATCCGATGGAAGAGATCTGAAATCTGTCATCACAATTGAGGGTGATGTTATGAAACAAGTTCAAAACGGCCATGGAAGAACAACCTACGTTGAAAGAATTGTTGATGGAAATTTGCTAAAGACAGTGAGTGTTATTGACTACTATCTGCCGATTTTTACTCTCCAACTAATTTTATCTTCACTTTTTTTAGACTGTCAAAGTAAATGATGTCGTTAGCTACAGAACTTACATCAAAGTCAACAATTAGGAAGCACAGTTTTTTGATTGTATTATAAAAATTTAATAACTACATGGCTACTGTATCCAATGCCCGTTTTTTTACTTACAGTATTGACAAGCGACTCTGTATAATTGTTTTATAATGCCCATAAAGCGTTGCCACTTTGGTTTTTAAGTAAATTGGAACCAAATCTAAATACAGGCGTCGGTTGAGTAGACTCTTGGGTAATAATAATAATAATAGGTACGGGTACTTAGGCAAGTCTCATGAGTAATACTTTGTACCCCTCTGAATTATGAAAGCAATTTGACAGTGGCAATCAAACATCACACTAGCATATGCTAACAATTTACGAGACAACATAATCACATTTTTCATTAAAAAAAACTCCGTCTTTAACCAAACAGGAGAAATAAAGTTTCTCCTTCCTCTATTGAAGCACATTTTCTCAGCAATTATTGTCAGTCTTAGTTAACTCTATTAGAGGAAATGAAAAAAAATTGTTTATAACTTATGATTATATTTTATATCAACCAAGTTCGATTCCAGGGAACAAGCTAACGTGACTGTGAAAGTTGCATTGGAATTAAACTAGTTCATTACTAGTTTGGCGGTTATTGCTGTTGAACTACGGAGTGTGCGATAGACTTACCTCTACGTGGTGCACCCTGGGCAACGTATACTCATACGGCAAAACAGTCTATTAACTGACAGTTGACTTCTGACTTCAAACTATAATGACCCCCACTGCATGCCATATTCTACCACTTCCACAGTACACATCTCTCTTTTTTCTCTGCCACTGTGTCTGTCTGTTTCTTTCACATCTTTGAAACACTCTTCTGTTCACCCCCTCCCCCTATCGAATTTTTCACAATTTGATGTTTCTCCCCTCCGTGAAGCCCGAAGTCAACTAAAGGGCTAATGATAATTATCGAAACACCTGTCATTTGAATTGTGTCGTTGAACTACTGAATCCAATCAAATCAAAGACAAGTTGGTGAGAAATATAAACTTCATTATCCCTCCAATTTCAATGGCCATGTCATAAGGAAATTGCATGAGGGAAAAGGCACTTCATCTTTGTTGACAAAGAGGAGAATTGGGAAAATAAAACAATCCACAGTGTTACAGATTCATTTTTGGTGTTAATGCAGCGCTTGCCAAGGGGAAGCCGATGCCTGGTAGCTCCTTTCTGGCAACATTGAACGGCCATGAACCTTGATATGAAAGAGCCACGGAAAAAATAAACAGATCAGTGTACAGTGTGGACAGAATTTTTCCACAGGCCAACTTGACTGATTTGATTTTAGCCGGTTGGTACAATTTTCCGAATGCGTATTTATCAAACTCGCATAAACAGTGCAAGTGGACAAACCCAGAACAGGGTAATGACTCACCACCTACCAGGTGGTGGGGGGGGTGGTGGGGAGGGGGGTGGTGGGGTGGACAAAGTTGAACTAAGCACCTGAAGCACATTAAAACAATTTTGATCGCTAATTTGACATTCTTGTTGATGATTAGTGTGGTTGGCTTCATTAGCGTCTAGACCAAGTATATCGCGAGGCATTAACGACAAGCATTTCAAGGAAGAGGTGACATGTTTTATAAATTCATTATACGCAGGATCGAAAAATTAGAGCTCACAGATCTCCAGCTGATTAAAATATTTAAAGATGTCATTTGAGCACAGCTAGCGGTGTCCTGAAAACTGTTTTTTAAAATATACACTTTGTAAAGTGATAGAAGATCATTTGAATTCACAGCGGATGGAAGAAGAAGTTTAATGAAGTGACTTGGTAAATATGCTCTTCATCATCGTAGTTAGGTGTTCTCTGAAAATGAAGGCGAGAAGAGCGTAAACTCAAGTTTGGAACCTAAACTTCAAATTTAGTAGCATTTATACAGTATAGATTCAAAATAATTTAATTAAGGCAATTTACAACCTTGAATAAGACCTCTATAAGCATTTATTTATTTATTTATTTCAAATAACAGGCATTTTGAAGGTTATCAATAGCCCTTTAGCTAACTACGGGCTTCACAGAGGGGAGGAACATTAAAGTGAGAAAAATTCGACAGGGGGAAAGATGAGCGATTCACAGATGTAAAAGACAGACAGGCACAAAGGCAAAGAAAAGGCTAGATGAGTACTGTGGAAGAGGTCGAATATGACATACAGAGGGGTGATGGTAGTTAGAAGCCAGAAGTCAACTGCCGGATAATAGACCTTTTTGTCGTATGAGTATACGTTGCTCAGGATGCACCACGTGGAGGTAAGTCCATCACACACCCCGACTGCCAGTACATCGATAGGAAAAATCTCTACCAATTGAAAATTTGACGGCTAGTTCTCAATCTCCATAGGAAACATGAGCAAAATTTCGACGAAAAGGAAAAGTAGAGCTAAATTAATCTCTAGTGCCAGATAAACAAGCGAGTCAATTTCATTTTCTAGATTAGGTGTATGTGAGTAGTACGAGTAACTTGGTAACGGTGGCAAACAAATGTGTGCGCACAACTATCTATTCCCCACCTCAGAAATGAAACAACCAAACAGCAAATACATCTACCAGAAGTTAACGCCTAATGTAACGAATCTACTGCATACTTGAGTAATCTGTTGCAATGTTTGGTCAACAATTTTCTAAGCAAGTTATATTCCCCTCTTCATGAATCAATTATTGATTCCCACTTCTCCCAGCACCTGTGTTTAGTGGCATTGCTCTCCTCCTCACTTCTCTCCCAGTTCCCACCAACCACGTTTGCTTCCATTCCCATCTTTTTGGTGGTAGCTCAGTTCAAGTAATTAGAGTGAATGAATAATTGACTTATCACCATTCTACCACACATTGGTTGCTCATGCGATTGTTCGAAATCTCAGTTTAGTGTCAGAGTCAGACAGTGAATGCAAGGGATTTGCGAATATCTAATGTACGGATGTTGAGAATGTATAGCAATTAAGTGTTTTCACCTTGATAATCCTCTGAGTAGATAAATTAACCAAAAGAGATATTGTGGCGTTTAATAATTGTAATTGAAAATTAACAGAAATTGTTAGAAAAATAGCGAATATAGCAGGGAAGTTAAGATCACTCAAATGCGTCTCTCAGTTATTGATTTAAGAGAAAGGATTCAAGCGTCTGAATTGGCGGCGAATTTTATCAAATGGATTGCGGTGTCGTTTGTTGTCCTTTCCCACCTTTACCTTTGTCCTTCTCTTTTTTGTCATCTTCTTCCACCTTCTTCTCGGTCACACCTTCCTCAATCATTCCATCAGTCACTTCTTCCTCAATATCCACCTCTTCGGTAATGCCTTCCTCAACCACTTCACCTTCGATTGCTTCTTCGTTCTCCACTTCTTCGGTGACACCAACCTCAATCATTCCATCCGTCACTTCTACCTCTATATCTACCTCTTCAGTAATGCTTTCTTCAACCACTTCCTCAACGACTGCTTCTTCGATCTCGACCTCTTCGGTGACATCTTCCATCATTTCATCAGTCACTTCTTTCTCTTTATCCACCTCTTCGGTAACGCCTTTAGTACCTTCATCATTGACTGCACCTTCCATCTCCTTCTCTTCGGTGACACCTTCTTCCATCACTTCA